GCTACACCTCTACAAGAAAAAGACAAACAACCCAATCAAAAAATGGACACAGAACATGTATAGACACTTTACTAAGGAAAACATTCAGGCAGTCAACAAACATATGAAGAAATGTTCATGATCATTATGGTTTGTTGTTGTTATGTGCCGTGGAGTCAGTTCCGACTCATAGCGACCCTGTACAGGGTTTCCAAGGCTGAAATCTTTATGGGAGGAGCAGAACAGCTGGTAGTTTGGAACTGCTGACCTTGCAGTTTGCAGCCCGATTCGTAACCACTATGCTACCAGAGCTCCTTAATGGTTAGAGAGATGCAAATCAAAATAACAATGAGATGCTATATCACCCCAGCTTTGATAACAAAAGTTTAAAAAAACAGACAGAAAGCAACAAATGCTGGTGAGGGTATGGAGACCTGGGGCCCTCCTACATTGCTGATGGGACTGTAAAATGGTTTGCCCACAGTGGGAAACGGTATGGTGCTTCCTCAGAAGGTTGAAAATAGAAATACCATATGACCCAGTAATCCCTCTATTTGGTATATATCCATAGGAAATAAGAGCGGGGCCACAGGTAGATATATGCACACAGATGTTCATTGCCACACTTACCCTATAGGCAAAATGATGAATTAGATATTATCAAACATCTTAAGGCAATGAGTTGTGGGCCTAGGGGCTCAGGAGCATGGTCTCAGGGGACACCATGGTCCATTGGCATAGTATAGTCCACAAGAACAATGTTCTATATCCTGCTTTGGTGAGTAGAGCTGGGATCTTGAAAGCTCATGAGTGGCCATCTAAGTGGCAACTATTGGTCTCTCCATGTGCAGAAGCAAAAAGAGTGATGAGAATTGAAGATGCTTGGGATCAATGAGTCCAATGGACTAATGGACCATGTGAACATCAGTCTCCATGACTCTGAGACCAGAAAAACTAGGTGGTGCCCCTCTACCACTATCAACTGCTCTGAAAGGGATCACACTAGAGGGTCCCAGATAGAGTAGGATAAAATGTAGACTAAAACTAAAAAATATTTTTTAAAGAAAAGACCAGGCTTACTGGCCAGAAAGAGACTGGAAGAACTTGAGACTATGGCCCTTGACCCCCCTTCAGGTCTGGAAAGGCGCTCACCCTTATGACCCAATTGTCAGTCAAGCAGTAGATAGGTAAACAACGCTAGTAAGGTATGCTCACCATAGAATGGTCAACTGTTCAAAGTCAAAAGGGCAACATGTACCTAAGGACAAAGTTGAGAAGAAATGGGAAGGTGGGTGGAATGGAAATAGGAACGACAAGGAACAAGCGGGATAACGGTTGTTGCATGGAGGGGACTGTAATCATTGAGATGAAACAAAGTATATGATTTGCTGAATGTAAAACTTAGGATCTTTGTAAACTTTCACTCAATTCACAATAAAAATGAGTATGTGTTTACATATCACTTATATGATTAAGATCATTTAAAAAGAACATAGGCCACTCCCTTCCTCAGCCCAAATGTACCTGGCCAGGAAGAGTGGGTGAGAACAGGAAGGTATCATTTGGCAGGATACAGAAAATGAATTCCTGAAGTCTATGGTTTCCATAAGATGTTCTGGACAGTGGTTAGGTTCTGAGGCTAGCTCACATCACATGCTTTATGGATCAGATTGGTTTGGGACTGGCCTGGGAATTAATCCACGACAATGGTTTTTATGGGTCAGTAAGCCTGGACATGAATACACCTTTCTTGAATGATTAAATAAGGGAAAAATATGTTTCAAACCCTGATCTATTAACACTTTTTGGAGGTGAAATATGTAAATGGAGTGCCTATTTATAGAACTCCTGATGTGGCTCTGTAGGATAAGCACTGGACTTCGAACCACAAGGTCAACGGTTCAAACCCACCAGCTGCTCCTTGGAAACCCTATACAGTGTTGAAATGAGTGGGAGTCTACTCCAAGACACTTACCAACAATAACTTATTGAAACCAAGAGAGCAAATATCTCACTTGGTTTGAAGAGCGGTTGAAATGAGTGGGAGTCTACTCCAAGACACTTAACAACAACAATTTACAGAAACCAAGAGAACAAATATCTGCTACCAATTTAGCTATGCTCCAAGCAGCTTCTCTAGGTTCACTTTGTAAAGAAGAGTGCTAAAGAAGCTTAATAGCAGCCCAGGAAAATGTGGAAGCACAAAACTTAGGGTTTAAGCAGATGACACTGATTATGCAATATAGTAAAGACGGAAAAGGAGAGAGAACTCTGTCAATGAAATAAGGAAGTAGGCTGTCTGGTTTAGGCCACTGTGGCTCAAAACAAAATTGGATCCCAGAATGAACTGCTTCCAGCACTATTGTAAAAAGTTAAGAAAATATTTTCTTGCTAAATGAGATTCTATGATGTTTACAGGATGGGTTGTTGTTGTTGTAAAGTGCCATCGAGTCGATTCTGACCCATAGCGACCCTGTATAGGGTTTCCGAGGAGCAGCTGGTGAGCTTGAACCACTGACCTTGCATTTCAAACGGCTTTGAAGTCTGTCTCATTAACCCACAGCACCACACCAGGATGGGTATGGGGATGGAAAAAATAAAGTGAATAGAGGTAAATACTGTTTAAAAAAAAACCCAAAAAACCCTGCGTTTTCAATTCTGATTGAGATTATATTGAATTTGTAGATGAATTTGTAGAAAAAAAATCTTAAAATCTTATAATAATGAATCTTCCCAGCCAGGGTTATGGTCTCTGTGGCACTGTGGGTTAATGCACTGGACTGCAAAGTCACTTTGAACTGCAAGGTCAGTGGTTCAAGCTCACCAGCTGCTCCTCAGAAACCCTATATAGGGTCACTATGGGTCGGAATTGACTTGACGGCACTTAACAACAATAACAACATTCAGAATATTTGTATCTATTTATGTACAATTGTATACATTGTTCTATCTAGGTTGGTACTGTTTTTGGTAAGGTTTATTTTTAGATATTTTGCCATTTTCTTTTCCTATTTAAAAAATATATATTTCTGTGCATTTTCCAATTGGTTACAATTGGCTTTTAGAGACGCTTTGCCTTTCCTAAATGATCTTATATCTGACTAGCCACCTTGCTAATTTTTCTTTTTAGGGTGTTACAGTTTTTTTCTCTCTCATGTAGAGCCTTCTGGAATGTCTAGGTTGACAATCATAACTTCTACAACTGGTTTTCTTTGTAGGTTCACGCAGAGTCAAGTAAAACCTGGTTGGCAGAGAAGTTCACAGAACTCAGATTACTGCTGGATGAAGAGGAAGTGCTGGCCAAGAAATTCATCGATAAAAATACACAACTTGCCCTGCAGGCATACAGACAGCAAATCGAGTCTTGTGGGAAGCACATTGATAGCATGAGTGACCTCTCCCACAGGCTCTGGAATATCAGCCAGGAGACAGATCCCGTACACCTGCTGCAGGTAAGACGGGGTTTCTTACCTCACAACTGCCACCGACAGTTTATCCCCGTGGCCACTGTTCTTGTTGCTATCAACTCAGGAGGCAAAGGGATGAAATACGGCCTGGCATTGCACTATCCCCAGGATTGGTTGTAGACCAAACCATTTTCAGAAGTAGATAGCCAGCCCTTTGTTGCCAACCTGTCTTAGTCTGGAAGCATAGCAACATGCAAACGTCCACTGACAGACAGCTGTTGGGTGACCCGGAATCAAACTCAGGTCTCCCTCATGGAAGCAAGACTTTTACCTCAGAGTCACCAGTACCTCTCGTCGTGGATACTGTAGCATTAAATACAGCAGTTGTGCTCTTAGTGAATAACAGAAATGCCGTGTCAGTATGTACACTTTGTGGTACCCACACACGTGGTCAGAAAACGTGCATTGTTAGGAAGATAATATGCATCTTGAATTAATCAAATATTGATTGCCACCATATTTGAGGACCTCTGTGTTCCATGCAAGGAGCTCTGGTGGCACAGTTGTTAAGCATCTTGGATGCTAACCGAGAGGTTGGCAGTTCAAACCTACCAGCTCACTCCATGGGAGAAAAATGTAACAGTCTGCTTCTGTAAAGATTATACTCTTGGAAGCCTTGTGGAGCAGTTCAACCCTGTCCTAAAGGGCACCTCTGAATGGAAGTCAACCTGACGGCACACAACATCAATAACAACATGTTCCAAGTACTTTATGTGCCTTAGTTGTGTATTTACAAGAATTCTTCAAAATTGATATTGTTATTCCATATTACTAATGAGAAAATGAGGCTCAGGAAGGTAAAGTGACTCACCTGAAGTCACACAGCTGGAAGATGGTAGAAGTGGGATCAAAACCCAGGTCTGTCTAACTGTAACCCTGCACAGTGTCACTACCTACCTCTCTGCTGTACATTAGGCAGACCCCTTGAGTAACTAAAGTGCAGGGACGGTCTAACCCCTCACTTTGGCCACTAATACCTGGCGTAGAATTCGACCCAGTGGACATGAAAGGGAGACGGGAGCACGGAAGGAGGGACCACCAGCATCCACACTGGAACAACTTCCGCATGTCTCCTTCCTCAGCACCTGCTGTGGGAATGCCCCAGGACTCAGCTCCTGGAGGCTTGGGCTGTAGGTCGTTTCCAGGACAGGGTGGACTTGCACTTTTGGCTTGGGTTTGTCACCAGGTGTAGTAGTGGAATCCGGGCCATAGCCTGCAGCTCCTGGAGCTCCCATGACCCCATGTGTCCCACACAGGCATACTCAGCCACCAAGCAGGAGCTGCAGCAGCAGATGAGTTCCGGGGAGCTGTACCACCCTGTGTCCCCCTCCTTTGAGCCCGTCAAGAGCCTCTTTAAGGGCCTCGTGGACACCATGCAGAGTACATTTCTGATGCCTCTGGACGTTCGTCTTAAGGAAAGTAAGTTGCTACATGACCACATTGCATTCTTAACTCGCTTCAATGCCCTGTACACACATTGTCATGGAGGCAAGTCCAACTCACAGCAGCCCTGTGTGACAGAGGAGAACGGACCCATCGGGTTCCAAGGCTGTAAATCTTTATGGAAGCAGTCTGTTGGCTTGTGGGTTTGAACTGGCAACCTTTTGGTTAGCAAGTGTTTTTATAACTGCACTATGAGGACTCTCTTACCACCCAGAGACTGCTGCAAAGACTTCAGGGCATACTTTCTGTGCATCCTCTCACTTGGGTGATTTAGACCAACAACCTGAATCACACCTCTCCCACATTCAGCAGGAGAGTCTAGTGCCCACTCCGCCCCTACCCCACCAGCTCCTTCAGCTTCACCTCCAGCCTTCCTGAGACCATGTCCAGACTCTGTCCAGCTACACTGCTCTGCTCTACCCCTCAGACTAGCCCTGTGTCTTACTACTCACAGCTTTGCTTGCTCTGGGCACCACACCCCCTCCTCTTCTTCTGTCTGGCCAAGTACCACCTCCTGCGAGGTGGGTCAGGTGTGCTCTCAGTGAGGGAGCCTGGGCCTGGGCCACCTTCCCCATGCGCCCTTTCTTCTCATGTCTCTTCCTCAGGGCCTGCTCTTCATGAACACCAGGGCCACAAAACCAGTACTCAGAAATGCCCATCCATCCATCCATTCACTCACTCGCCCATATCTGCTGTTAGGATTCATTTAGGACACTGACTGAACCCCTCTTATGTGTCAGCCTGGGTCTAGGATGAGCAGGGGCCAGGGAACAAATGAAGTTCTTGTGCTGGTGGAGCTCACAGTGTTCGGGTACAGGGCAGACAACAAATATATCTGGCGAGAAGTGCTCTGAAATGACAAGGAGGAAGAGCTATTTTATAGGAGGAGGTTGGGCAAGGCTTCTCAGGGAAGGGGATGTGTAAACAGATCCATTAGAGCAGAATTTTGATCTCTACGTGGTGTTCTCCTGCCCCTTGACTTCCACTGGAATTTTGGACATGTAGTAAAACAAGGCCAGTTGCAGACTGTGGAACAGACCATCAATTGTTCATATGCAAATTCATACTCAAGCTGAAGAAAGTGAAAACAAGTCCACGAGAGCCAAAATATGACCTTGAATATATCCCATCTGAATTTAGAGATCATCTGAAGAATAGATTTGATACATTAAAGACTAAAGACCGAAGACCAGAAGAGTTGTGGGATGACATCAAGAACAACATACAGGAAAAAAGCAAAAAGTCACTAAGAAGACAAGAAAGAAGGAAAAGATCTAAATGGATGTCAGAAGAGACGCTGAAACTTGCTCTCCAGCATAGAGATGCTAAAGCAAATGGAAGAAATGAGGAGGTACAAGAGCTGAACAGAAATTTCAAAGGTCAGTTCGAGAAGACAAAGTCATATATTACAAAAAACTGTGCAAAGATCTGGAATCAGAAAACCAAAAAGGAAGAACACGTTCAGAATTTCTCAAGCTGAGGAAACTGAAGAAAATATTCAAGCCTCAACTTTCATTATTGAAGGATTCTCTGGGCAATTTATTGAATGATGCAGAAAACATCAAAAGAAGATGGAAGGAATATACAGAGTCACTGTACCAAAAGGAAATGGTTGATGTTCAACTGTTTCAAGAGCTAGCTTATGATCAAGAGCCAATGATACTGAAGGAAGAAGTCCAAGGTGCACTGAAGGAATTGGCAGAGAACAAGGCACCATGAAATGATGGAATAAAAATTGAAATCTTTCAAGAAAGTGAGGTGGCACAGGAGGCACTCACTCATCTATGCCAAGAAATTAGGAAGACAGCTATCTAGCTGACTGATTGGGAGTGATCTGTATTTGTGCCCTTTCTGAAAAGAGGTGACCCAATCGAATGCGGAAATCATCGGACAATCTCTTTGATATCCCATGTGAGTAAAGTTTTACTAAAGATAATATAGAAACGGCTGCAAGCATACATTGACAGATCAGAACTTCCAGAGGTTCAAGCTGGATTCAGAAGAGGCTGTGGAATGAGGGATATCATTGCTGATGTCTGATGAGTCTTGGCTGAAAGCAGAGAATACCAGAAAGATGTTTACCTGTGCTTTATTGACTACGCAAAGGTTTTCAGTTGTGTGGATCATGACAAACTATGGACAACATTATGAAGTATGAGTATTCCGGAACACTTCATTGTGCTCATGAGGAATCTGTACATGGACCAAGAGGCAGTTTTTCTAACAGAACCTGGGAAGACTGAATGGTTTAAAATTAAGAAAGATATGTGACAGGGTTGTTTGCTTTCACCATGCTTATTCAACCTGTATGCTGAGAAAATAATCTGAGAAGCTGGCTTCTATGAAGAAAAATGTGGCATCAGAATTGGAGGAAGACTCATTAACAACCTGCGATTTGCAGATGATACAGCCTTGCTTGCTGAAAGTGAGGAGGACTTAAAGCATTTACTGAGGACGTAAAGTATTTACTGATGAAGATCAAAGACCACAGCCTTTGGAATTGTTAGAAATGAATTCTGATGTCGCACAAAAGACACTCAGTGAGACTAAATTATCTTGGCAAAGCAAAATTTACTCTGGCAAGAGGATGCATGTGCATAGCCATACAGGAACAGGTCAGCGAGCATACCGAGTGGGCAGTCCACTCATGTTTTTAATCCCTGGCGCAAGTCTTAAATCTTAAGCTCAACCTCATTGGCTAGGGCTTTGACCACACAATCTTTTCCCTTACCTGGTTGGCTAGTTCAAATTTCTAAGGCGCTCATTCCCATTTCAGGAAATAGTATAAAGTAGAAGAGAGGTCATACAGTTCCTGCTCACTTCAGGAAAATGGAAAAGAAAGATCACAAAGTCTCTGCTCACTTTGGGAAGTAGTCAAAGTAAAAAGTGATCATAAGGTCTTTACTCACTTCAGGAAGTAGTCAAAAAAAAAAAAAAAAAAGAAAGGTCACCCAAATACAATAAACAGGATTATAATAATTTTTGGAGAAAAGATATTCATTCCCACAGTATGGATTTCATCTCACTATAAAGAAAACAAAATTCCTCACTACTGGATCAATAAACATTCTTACAAAGGAGAAAAGATTGAAGTTGTCAAGGGCTTCATTCTTCTTGGATCAACTATCAACACTCTTGGAAGCAGCAGTCAAGAAATCAGACGACATATTGCATTAGGCAAATCTGCTGCACAAGACCTTTTTAAAGTGTTGAAGAGCAAAGATATCAGCTTGAGGACTAAGGTGCGTTGACCCAAGCCATGGTATTTTCAATAACCTCATATGCATGCGAAAGCTGGACAGTGAATAAGGAAGACCGTAGAAGAAGTGATGCTTATGAGTTATGGTGTTGGAGGAGAATATTGAAAGTACCCTGGATTGCCAAAAGAACCAACAGATCTGTGTTAGATGAAGTGCAGCCAGAGTGCTTCTTGGAGGCTAGAACAGCCAAACTTCATCTCTCATATTTCAGATATATTGTCAGGAGGGACCAGTCACTGGAGAAGGATATCATGTTTGGTAAGGTGGATGGTCAGAGTAAAAGAAGAAGACCCCCAGCGAGATGGACTGGCCAAGTGGCAGCATCAATGGGCTCCAACGTGGCAACAATTGTGAGGTTGGCCCAGAACCAGGCAGTGTTTCATTCTGTTGTACATAGGGTCGCTATGAGTAGGTACCGACTCGATGGCACCTGACAACAACAAGAAAGTCCAATTTGAAGAGTCCTGGTGTGACACTGTAGGATAAGCACTGGACTGCAAAGTTGGTGTGAATCACAAGGTCAGTCATTCAAACTCACCAGCTGCTCCTTAGAATTCCTATACAGGGTCACTATGAGTGAGAAACAACTCGATGGCACTGAACAACAGCCCAACTGGAAGATTCTTCTTGAGATGTAACTAGTTTGTTTTTTGTTTTTCCATTCAATCACATCTCAATCTTGTTGTTAGCTGCCACTGAGTTGATTCCAGCTCATGACAACCCAGTGTGTGCAGAGCAAAATGGCTCCATGGGGTTTTCTAGGCTGTGACCTTTTGGGAGCAGATCTATGGGCCCATTTTCCCAGGTGTCTTTGAATGGGTTCAAACCACCAACACCTTTGACTAGTAATCGAATGCTTAACTGTTTGCAACCCCTGGACTATCTTAGCAATTGATATATCTTAATTTTTTTTTAAAAAGGAATAAATAGTAAAGATATATTTGGGGGGTTGGTATCATTGAAGCTTGAAACTGTGGCCTCATCATATCCAGTGAGTGGGCATTGGCATCTCCCCCTGTCACCTTAGAACCCAAAATGTAGTTTGTGCACATATATATTCTCAAAGAATTGGGAATCCTGAACCCATAATAACAGCTAACTCATGGTCTATGTTCTAAGCACGTCATCTAAACATTTTACACAGATTCGTCTAGCGATCCTTATTGCCACCCTGTGAGTTAGGTGCCTTCATTATCCCCATTTTGCAGATAAGAACGCTGAGGCTCAGAGGAGTTAACTGACTTACCCTAGGACACACAGCTGGTAGGGGCAGTGATAGAATTCAAACAGACTCTCGTCTGGTCCCCAGCTCTGTGTTCTAATCCTTTGGACAATTTCCTCTCGGGTTGTCACCCTTGCCCACCTTCAGACGAGATCTTCACTTGTCACTATCATGAGAGGTCCTGACACCCCAAAAAGACCCATGGAGGTGTGGGGTTCTGTGGCCACACTGCCCTTCCAATGTTCTCCTCCCCAGTCCACAGACTGCAGGCTCAGTGGGGCCAGACTGGGATGCAGCATCTTCCCCCAGTCCCTGAGGTGCTTGCTGCCTCTGGCCTCCACCCTGCTCTTCATCCCTCTCAGTGAGCTGTTAAGCCCTGGTAGTCTGCCTCTGCAGTGTTTCCTCAGCCCAGCCTCCTTTCAATTCCTGCTGCCCCCGTTCAAACCTGCGCCTCCCAACCGGCTGCCTACCTCCACTCTTACTGTCCCGTCCTCTCCACACTGGAGGGAATTTTCACAGTTCTTCTATTTATGCTGCTTTCTCACTTAGACACCTTCCATGTCTCCCCACTCCTGACACTGGCCTCCCATGCCTTTGCTCCCTCTATACTCTTTCTTTGGAATAGCTTCCAAGGAATATTTGTATAAAATTTCCCCATTCTTCAAGGGCCAAATGAAGTGCTTCCTCTTCCCAGCAGTCTCCCCTGACTTCTCCAAGCCCCAGAGCCCTTGGGCCTCTCCACTCTCCTGACCTTGAGCCCTTTCTGCCTTGGACCATAAACCAAGTGACTCTATTTCTCCCTTCTTTTACCAAGCTGTTCAGCATGCATGGGTTTCCTTGTAACGCCCCCTTACCTAAATGAGACCTGAAAATTGTCTTTGTGAGCACTCAGCCCTGATTTCTTGTTTTTCATCTTTACCCTAGAATTTGCATTTCTGCCTTGAGCTTGCTTCTCCTTGAGTGTTGAAGATAATCATCCATTCTTAGGATCACCCTCGAGATTGCCTACATCCTCTGACCCACAACAGTCCCCCAAATTCAAAACTTCCCTTACCCTGGCTTGTCTGATCCTGCAAAGTGAAAGGTCTCTTTAGATCTGACCTAGTCCTTCAGTTTTCCTATTACTGTGAATTCGCATTTTTTATTTATTCCTGGGGAGAGACGATATAAATCTCCAGTTCTAGCCTATTTTTAGCATCGTTTATAATATGTGCTGCTTGCATGAACAACAAGCACTCATTTCTCACAATTTGTTACAGACATAAGTTGCCAGCTCATGGACTCCTCCAGCACCAAACCAGGCACCTTGTTGAAAACAGGCCCCTCGCCAGAGCGGTCACTCTTCTTAAAATGTAAGATCCCAAGAGTGGGCAGAAGGTGGAGCAGGTGGGGAGGGCCTGGGGCACCGAATTGGAGGCCTCCTCTTTTTCTTCTGTTGAAACCCAACTTTATTTCTTTAACCTTATATTAGTTTTTTTGTGTGTGTGTTAAATAAATAATAAGTATTTGTTGTAGGAAAATTAGAAAACAAAGAAAAGCAAAAAGAAAGAAAACCACTTATAGTCCCTTTCACCCTAGAAAATTGGTACTGTTATAGGTCCCTCTAGTTTTCTTTGATACAGCTATTCAAACAATCTAGGAGCTGTGGTAGAGTAGTGGTTATGAATCGGGCTGTGAACTGCAAGGTCAGCAGTTCGAAACTACCAGCTGTTCCACGGGAGAAAGATGAGGCTTTCTGCTCCCGTAAAGATTTACAGCCTCGGAAACCCTGTACAAGGTCGCTATGAGTCGGAACTGACTCCACGGCTCTTAACAACAACAACATTTACTTATAAAGATATATTTAATTTTAAAAAACACAACATGGTGTCATACTGTACATACTGTTTTATAGTCTTGTTTTCATTTAATGGTATATTGTGAAACTGTTTATTCCCTTAAAAATTATGCAGGTAAATACATCCTTCTTGTAGGAAAATCAGAAACTACAGATGGACAAAAAGAAAACAGTTGTTCCTCTCTGAGATAAATATTAGTAGTACGTTAGCATATATTATTCTTTCAGACATTTAAAGGATATATGTGTATACCTTTTTTAAAAAATTAGGTTCTATTATAGATATTCTTCTGCAGTATTTCCATTTAACATGAAAGCTGGACGATTTTCTATCTCAGTAAATATAATCTGTCAGTATTTTTAAAGGATGCATACTATGCCAATGGATGTGTCTGTCATATCCAACCAATCTCGTGCTATTGGACATTTAAGCTGGTTTATAGTTTCACTTCTATAAACAAATTCTTCAATAAATGCATTGTTGTACATATAGCTTGAATTAATAGATGAGTGAATGAACATATCTCTGATAAATTCTGCTTCAATTTTAAGAAGCATTTCTCAATTAATCGTTATACATGCATTTTAAAAATAAATTCTAATTGAAACATAAAATGCATAGAGAAAACTGCCACAAATAAAGGGATTCAACTCAGTGAGTTTTAAAAAGTAAACATATTCTATAACCTGTCCCCAGGTCAAGACATGGACATTTCTAGCTCCTCAGAAGCCTCCCTTCATGTCCCCTCCTGTCCACTATCCATCAGTAGTAACCATTCTGCTGACTTCTATCACTGTAAATTGGCTCTTCCTCCTCAAGTCAGCAGGATGTGTAGTATCCATTGGACATTGTACCCCAGTCATCCTTGGGTAGGCAGGAACTCCTTTCAGGAACAGGGACCCTGACCGTAGCTGCTCCAAAGGCCGATAGGAACTGAGCTCCCAGCTCCCAGCTCCCTTCTAGGTCAGCAGGAAGGCCATCCAGCCACCCAACCGGTCCATGGCCTCCTCAGCCAGCAGAACACGCCCAGCCTTTCTGGTGCCATGTCCCCATCCTAGTTTTTTCCTTTCTTTTTTTCCTTTCCCTACCCTTGTTTGTCTTTCTTTTCTTTTCTTCTTTTCTTTCCCATTTTCTTCTTTTTCTTTACTCTTCTCTTTTTCTTTTCCTCTTAGTGTTTTCTCTCTTTTCTTCCCTGTTTTCACCTCCCTGCTTTTTTTTTTTTTTAAGGTTTTTATTGTGGGTTGAGTGCAAGTTTACAGGGCAGTTCATGATTTTACATTCAACAAATTATACACTTTGTTTCATTACAATGATTATAATCTCCTCCATGTACCCATCATAATTTACACCACCAAAGGGCACATTCTCCAAGCCTGCCTTCTGGCCACCAGCTCTTAGTCCCTTCTCTTCCCATGAATTTAGAGTCCTCAGCTGCTCCCTCTCTCTATGTCCCCATCTCTGCCTCCACTTCTGATATTGCTGCTTCTCTGGGTAAGGTCTCACATTCTGCTTGTGCTCGTCTCCCTTGATGGTCCCTAGGGTCTTTTGTTTCTGGACTAAGATTAACTACTCTCCTGTTTTTGTTACAAAACTTCTACCTTTACAGTTGTGACAGTCGCAGTTAGTCATGATAACAATTACTCACTATTGAATCATAAGACTTTTATCCCCATCTCTTTTAACCAGACCCATCTAGGCAAGATGAAAACTATTAATTGACAACTCTTTCCTCCCCCACACACTCTTAAACTCCCCCTTAAAACTTTATAAGCCACTCACTTCATGCCTTTATTGCCCCCTCATTTTAGGTAGCCAATGTCTAAGTTGCCCGTCCGTATCTACACTGTGTACAGAAGGGATAGCATTGATACTTGATGTGAAGACTCTTTCACTTTCAGTTGGTATTTAGAGTTACTACCTTCATGAGTATAGGTCAAGTTCATCAAATAGTAGCAATTTACGTGCGTTTCCTTTATCAAAAATTGTTTTGTTCTTTTTTTTTTTTTAATCTTCCTCTAGTTGAGTTCTAATTATCAAGCCATTAAGGTTAGGTCAAATGGGTGCTGTCTGCAAGTTTGGGTGTTCTTGTGCTTCTCCCCTCACTTCATATCAGCTGGATGCTTCACTCTCGGCTCTAGCCCTCTGTGGTTATGTCCTTGTCCATGGGCTCAAGTGTCCTCAGGTCTCACCTCACTTTGGACCAACCAGCCCTTCTTCTTCTCTCTCACATCTCCAGGTGAATGGGAGTCTATGGAACATGGTTGAACTCAGCCCGTTTCTTCATTGCTGCCTTTCCCCCTCTTTCACTCACCAGTAGATCAATGTGGTCATCAGCAAGCTTATATTCCTGTTCATGTGTTCCCTTTGAGTTTCAGTCTTGGAGGGGGGCATCTTTCCCTTTAAAAATTTTTTTAAATTTATTGTTTTCTTTTTTCTCAAAGATGGGTTTTTTTCCTCTTTTTTCTTTTTGTTGTTATTGTTTGGTTCCGTTTTTTTCCCTCTTCTCTCACACGCTCTCTCCTTTTTTTTTTTTTTTTTGTCCCACTGGGCAGGACACAGCAACCATGCAACACCCACACCTCCTGAAAGCCTACCCACTGAGTGAGAGCCACCACCTGCTCAGGCACCACCTGACCAACAATAGACAGCATCCAACCCCAGCCCAACCCACCCTCAGCTGTTCTCCATGAACAACAAAGAGCTGTGCACACAGTCCCAGCCTTGACCACACTCACCAGGAGACAGAGGTGGTGCCTAAGAACACACTAGAACAGAACTACCAATAAAATCCAAATATAACACCACCACAATGTCTCAGAGAAAACAGACAATTTCAGTTCACACAAAATAACAAGACAAAGTGACTCCAAAAAATGACCAAAACATAGAGTCAGAAAACCTTTCTGAGGAAGAAATGGCATTGGAACTACCTGGTAAGGAATTCAAAAGAATGACATTTAGGTACCTAATGGATTGACAGAAAGATCAAAACAACTGCAGACAAAATCAGTGAACATCCAGACAAAACTCTAGAAGAATTCAGGAAAACATTACAACAAATAAATGAAAAATCATTAACCATTCAAAACCAGCAAATAGAAGTCCAGAAGATTAATACTATAATTTCAAAATAGATAACACATTGTAAGGGCAAAGGAGTGGTGGTAGTGGTTGGTTATGTGCTGTAGAGTCGGTTCTGACTCAGCGACCCTGGACAGGGTTTCCGAGGTTGTAAATCTTCATGGGAGCAGAAAGCCTCATCTTTCTCCAGCAGAACAGATGGTAGTTTCAAACTGCTGACCCTGAGATTAGCAGCCCTATTCATAACCACTACACAACAAGATCTGCTTAAGGGCAAAGGAGTTGTTGTTGTTAAAACTGAATAAATGAAAGCCAGAATTAGTGAGACTGAAGACAAATCTTTCAGTACTAATCTGCTAGAGGACTAATCAGAAAAAGAACAAAATACCAAATCAAACAAACAAAAAAAGCCTAAAAATTATGTTGTGGTTAGGTGCCATCGAGTCGGTACCGACTCATAGCGATCCTATGCACAAGACAATGAAACACTGCCTGGTCCTGCGCCAACCTCACAGTTGTTGCTACAACTGAGCCCAATGCTGCTGCCACTGCCAATCCATCAGGTTGGGGGTCTTCCTTTTTTTTCTCCAACCCTCCACTTTACCAAACATAATATCCTTCTCCAGGGACTGGTCCCTTCTGACAATATGTCCAAAGTATGAGAGATAAAGTCTGGCCATCCTGGCTTCTAGGGAGAATTCTGGCTGTACTTTTTCCAACACAGATTGTTCTTTTGGCACTCCATGGTATTTTTAATATTCTCCTCCAACACCATAACTGAACTGCATCAATTCTTCTACAGTTTTCCTTATTCACTGTCCAACTTTCACATGCATATGAGGTTATTGAAAATACCATGGCTTGGGTC